AAAGAAAACCCCTAACCCAGTAAATCATATTAATGAACACACAATCCTCTATACATGTATGTGCATAACATTACATTATAATATATTGCACCAATATTAAATTGTTGCACGTTGTGCCGGCTAGGCAAGTCTATCATACTACGTATCTTGGCCACAGCCTGGCTGTCGTACCCTTCTTCCTCAGAATTTTTTGTTCACTTTTCAGTCCTGGTGAGAGGTAGGCCCTGGGATCTCCTGGTGGTCCACCATCCAAATACCTGACTTAGTTTTCTTCGGATCAGTGAAAGGTGACTGGATGCTGCTACCTAGCTGGGCAGCAGACAATAGCCATAGTCCAGTAAAGCAAAGATGGCTGAGGAATTCTGGGAATTGAAGTCCACAGGTCTTAAAGTTGCCAAGGTTAGAGACCCCTGCAGTAAAGCAGAAGAGAGTAGTAGGAAGATGCCTATTATGAAGGAGGAGGAGATTTCACAAGGTGGCTTTGGCACTGGAGGACCCACAGCCAGGAAGGAGTAGTTGCACATGCCTTTTAAGTGGGGGCCACAGCTAAGAAGGGCTCGTTCCTGAAGCTGATAAAAGGAGTTTAAAAAAAAAATAAAGGCGGAGCTGTTTTTAAGGAAGGTGACTCTGGAAGTGAGAACGCTCAATCAATGGAAAAAGCTTCCCTCCCGGAGTTTGAGTGCTCCATTGCTGGAGATTTTCAAGAAAAGATTGGACCGCCATGTGTCTGGAATGAAATAAGGATTCCTGCCTTGGGCAGGGGGTTGGACTAGAAGACCTCTAATGTCCCTTCTAGCCCTAGGATTCTGTGATTCAGGAGGGCCTCGGAGGAAGTTCTCCTCCTTGTTTATCACCCAGTATATCTGAAGAACACAGCATATAGAATCCTCCCTCTGAGGAATACACCTGGGGATTTCTCCTTAGGCTACCCCACAACAACAACCCTGTAAGGTAGGCCAGGCTGTGAACCAGCAATCCCAAACTGCCAGTGGAGCTCACTTAACTGAGCGGAGAGCTCAACCTCTCCTCTTCCTGAAAGGGCCTCTGGCTAGAAGTAACAGTAACAGTAGAGTTGAAAGGAACCTTGGAGATCATCTAGTCCAACCCCCTGCTCACACAGGAGACCTGTACCAGGGATTCGAACCGCCGAACTGCCGACTTTTCTGATCGACAAGCTCAGTGTCTTTAGCCACTGAGCCACCTAGTCAGGCTGTCTGCATCCCTCTCAGTGAAGCCCCAGGATGGGAGGAGACCCCTCCAGGACAGGGACGGAGCAGGCTTTTGGGGAACACCGGAACCCCAAAAGCTCTTCTTGGCTGACTTCTCGAGCACAAATGCCGCCTTACAACCCCGGAGAAGCCCCAACCCCCGAAATATCTAATTTTATTGGGATGTGAAGGGCAAGAAAAGAGATGTACACTTGCAAACACACATATGTTTTTTGCCCTGAATATACTTTTTAATCAAGACTTTGCTGCTCACATTGTAACATGCAACCCAGTGGTGAAATCCAATTTTTTTTACTACCGGTTCTGTGGGCGTGGCAGAAGGATACTGCAAAATCCCCATTCCCTCCCTACTCTGGGGCCAGCCAAAGGTGGTATTTGCTGGTTCTCCAAACTACTCAAAATTTCCGCTACCGGTTCTCCAGAACCTCTCAGAACCTGCTGGATTTCATCCCTGAGGCAACTTCTCCCAAATGTTTCTTTGCCGGAATTACCCCCAGCGTGGCAAATTACCTGAGCTGCATTGCCAAGCAAATCAATCGATTAGCAAAGTCTTCGTTAACACCAAAAGGGAGCATAACGTATTTTTTAACAAAACAATCTCCAGAGACGATCCGAATTTTCAAAGCATTTCTTAGTCTATCTATCCGCTGCAAATTATAATGACTATCTCCTAGTCAAATTTCAAGTTTCAAATCAGAGTGAACTGGGGACATCCACCCTGAGAACTGTGGCAGAGCCTCCTAAGGGCTCAAAGGCTCAGGGAGTGCCGAAGGAGTGCCCAAAGCCGGCAACGTTCCTTGTGGCTGGTGGGCACAGGCCCTGGTTTGCCAGGCTCTCTTCTCTAGCACCGGCTTCCTGAAAAGACACCATCCCCCCCCCCCCCCACTCCACCCCCAGACTGAGACACCCAGTTTGGCTCCGGCCCACCAGAGCTTCCCCTGGCCTCCACTAATGGCGGAGAAGGAAATTCCCCAGCTGTCACTGCCATGCCTTGGACTACAAAATCCATCATGCTTGGCTGGAAAGTTGTCCTCTTATAGATGCAGAAGGCTTTGGGCTAGGAAAGGGGGCCACAGAGTTCCTTCCTTCACCCGTATCTGCTGACCTGGAGGAAAACCCACTAGCTCACACCATATTTTTAGGAAAATCTCTCTAGCAAAAAGCAGTCCGCCTCCTTTCCAGCCCAACACAGCCTGAGTCCTCTTCTGTGGAGGGCAGGAGACACCGTCCATCAGCCCTGGAGTTCAACTGGGTCACAGAGGCCGAGCAAGTTGACAAGGTCTCCGTAGCTCTTCTCTCCAGCCCTGAACCTCACAAGCAATTTTCACAGTCCACTTTGCTTCTGGGCAACGTTTCCAGAGTCTGGGGGCACGAGGGGAAAGATTGGATGGGACTTTACTGTCTGGAAAGTCCCAAAGGCAAGGATATCCTAAAGTCAAGCTCAACCCTAAACCATCCTATGAGCTGCCGCCTCTTCAAAAACTTTCCAATGTAGCCCAGAGCCCTGGGACTCCCTGAAGTCTCCCATCGATCCTGCTTGGGGGCCCTGAGGCTGCAGCCATCCCCCACAGGGGCCATTCACTAGTTCAGCTCCCCACAAGCTAGAAGTGGGCTTCTTCCCTTCCCAGCTCTGACCCCCAATGTGGCTCTACCTAGCATGCATGAAACAGCATGTCTGCCCTTAAGCCTGTGCGCAACAGGAGCACCATCAAATCCCAGGAATGGCCTGCAGGCTGAATTCACATGTTCCGTGTTTGAATGAAACCCTTCATATCCCATGCTGTCAAACCAGGCTTCCCACAGCACCTTCTGAGTTTCTTTCTGAGGGGGGCTTCCGAACCCTCCACAGACTGGCATGCAAAGGCAACAGGTGCTGTTCTATGGTGGTGGGGGGGAAGGGGTCCAGGTTAGTGCTGCTTACAATCCCACAGGTCTCAGGTGCTCACAAAGATGCAACAGCTCAAGCATCAACTCTGAAAAGCGTTGGCTGGTGGCCCAGAGCTCCTGCTTCTTCCCCCTCCCCCCCAATCCTCAACACAGAACCACATGCTCACCCCCAAAGCCAGTGTGTCACTGGGACAGGAGAGACTTCTAGGAAAAAGAGTAGGAGAAAAACAGGAGCGGCCACTGCAGGAAAGAAGATGAAGCGCCCAGACAGACAGACTGCCAAGGGACCCACGAGCTCCATGCAAAGGCAACCATTCATTGGCATCAGTCTGGGAAAGCGTTTCTCCAGTTTGGCATTTTTAAGATGAGTAGAGTTCAACTCCCAGAATTCCTCAGCTTGGGGAATTCTGGGAGTTGAAGTCCACAATTCTTAAAGTTGCCAAGGTTGGAGACCCCTGATCTAGACTGTCTCTCAGTTTAGCTCTGAGGCTGTCCAACCGGCTGGCAGAAATGTCCCACAGTGGGCACTGCATTTTGAACTGGCCAGAAGGCCTCTCCTCTTCTCAGGACACGCCTGAGGTTTAAAACTGGGAAACTGACCACCTTCTGATGGAGGCTGGGCCCCAGTTCTTGTCTCCAGCAAGGCAGGGAAGTCCAGAACTAAAGTTTAAACCTCAGGCTCCCCAATTCTTTTTTTCTCCCAGACCTGAAAGACAACCAAAAATGGTCTCCATCGTTTACCCCCAGGGATTAGAAACACAGACTCTTCCAACGTGGCTCAGCAGCGGCCTCCAGGTAGACTGGCTGGGCTCCCTTCATCCCCAACCAGCAGCCTTCTCTCCAGAACTCCCGAGCCAATCAGGCCACTGCTGGGAATTCTAGGCATTGGAACTCACACACCTGAAGGGAGGCTGGAGAAGGCAGATGGGACCTGCAGTACTCCGGCTTGCCTGGAGGAGGGCTGGAAGGGAAGCAGCACTAACCCGTGGGGGTCAGTGAAGGACAGTGAGCAGAGAGGCCTGGCCGCAGGAGCAATGGCCGAGAGGAAGGCACCAGGCTGGAGAGGCAGCCAGATCGGAGAGGCCATCCTGGGAAGGATGCCCGCACCCTGTGCCAAGGCTTGCTTTGCTGGCCAAGCGGTCTCTCGCTTGCAGAGCAGAGAAGGGAGAAGCACAGCAGAGAGCTGGCCCCGTCCCAGCTGCAGGCAGAGCCGGAGCCAGGGCTGGGTGCTCCTCCGTGCTGCATCCAGCCTTGGCACCGGGCCCCGATGCCCCTCGCTCTGCTCGGCCACCCCAGGCCTCTCCAGCCGGCCTCTGCCCCCTTAGTGACAGCCAAAGGCGGCACAATCAGGGCAGCTCCCGGGGGTGACTCTCTCTCTCTCTCCCCCCTCCGCCCAGTTGAAGAGACGGGCATCCACCTGTTCCAAGGGTGCCTTTCCACTCCCAGCCCCGATGCCAGCCTGCCGCCCGGAGGGGGTGGAGCAGCAGCGGGAGCAGCGCGTAAACGCGGCATTTCATTTCCCTCCGAGACCCGCAGCCGCTTCCCCGGGCCCGCCGCGTCAAGGGGCAGCGGGAGGTGGGGGCGCCGAACCGGGCACGTTCCGGACAGAGCCCGAAGAGCCCCGGCGGCGGCAAGAGGGCAGCGGCGCCTCGCCGGGCACCGGACGTCCAGCTGGCTCCGGCGACGGGGCTGGAGGAGGAGGAGGAGGCGGCGGCGGCGGCGCGGGACTAGCCCGGCCGGACCTCCGGGGCTGGCGAGCAGGACGAGGCGGAGCCGCCCTCCCTCCCTCCTTCCCCGGTGGGGCGTCCCCCTCCCGGCCCCCCGCGCGGGACAGCCGAGCCCGGCCTGGCATCCCCCGCCGCCCTCCCGCCGCCGCGCACTCACTGGCTTTGCCCGGCTTGGGCCTCTGCAGCAGCTTCTGCACCGCGCCGACGTCCTCCGCCTTCACCGCCTGCATCAGCTCCTGGTCCTTGCCCATGGCGAGCGGCGGCGGCGGCTGGGCTGGGGTGGGGTTGGGGGGTTGGCCGGGGGGGGTCCTCAGGGGCGGCTCATGCCCGGCCGCGCCCCAGCCGGCGGCGATGGGGGCTGCGGGAGGTGCCGGGCTCGGGGCGGGACGGGGCGGCGGCGGCGGCGGCTCCTTTGCTGCAGCGGCTGCCGCGGTCGCGACGCGCAATGGAGACGCGCGGCCGGGGCGCAGCGCCTCGCCGGCGGGCGGGCGGGGACAAGTCGGCTGCCGGGCTCCGGCGGGGGCTCGCTCAGCACAGCCACCGCCGCCTCCTCCTCTGCAGCGGCGGCGGCGGCGGCGTCCTCACTCCTGGCCGCTCGGGCCGAGCCGGCTCCCCGCCGCGGCCGCGGCCGCCAAGAGCCTGGCCGGAGCCGGCGACGAGCCTTCCATGGCCGGCCGCGCCGGAGCTGCGCCTGGCTCGTCTCTCCCGCGCCGCTGCCGCGGTCCTGCTGAGGCGTCGCTCGGGAAGGAGGCGGCTCCCGCTTCGCGCGGCTCGGGCGGGGGGCGCCGGCCAAGCCCCCTCCCCGGAAGGCCCGAGCCCGGGCATCGGGGAGTTTCGCGGAGGAGCCGGGCGAGAGCGCCTCTACGGACGTGCAGAGCGCTCGGCGCGCCTAAGCCAGCCGTGCTGGGCGGTGAAGGGCGGCCGAGGCCCTGCGGAGTCGGCGGGTCTGTGCTGCGACGGGAGGCCGCCGAACATGTGCAGAGGGCTTGGCGGCAGCTCCTGCGGCCGGAGCCCAAGCGAGGGCCAGAGCGGGACCTGTCCGGGCCGACAGGCGAGGCGCAACCGCGGAGCCTCCGAGGGCGCGCGGGAGGAAAGGGGGAGCCGAGCGGGGTCGTCGGGGAAGCCGGCCGGGACTGCCTGGAATGGAGCGAAGGGCTCCGAAGGGCAGCGGGACCTCGGGGTGATGGCGGGCTGGTTTGCCCGGGGAGGCGATTCCTGCAACCAGGACGGTTCCGAAGTGGGACGAGATGATGGAGGGCCAGGGACCACTGGGGGCCCCCTCGGCTTTCCCCGGCTCCTCCAAAAAATCGGCCCAATCCCCCCCTCCCGCAGCGATCGTGGCAGCTGCTCAGCCCTGGCTGGCAGCTCCAAATCGCCCCATGGAAACCCCCCCCAGCCCCTCGGATGCTCCCAAGCGCAGCCTCTGCTCAGCCGGCGGGCTCCCTGGTGGGTTTCCACAGCCTGCAAAACTCTCCAGTGGGAATTGCCTATCAGTCGGTGCCGTCGCGTTTTACCCACGGAACACCATGTGCGGACTTAGCCACTGGTGTTTTGGCGGTAAACCTTGTTTCAGACAAGCCGTGGTTTAGTGAATCCAGCCCTCTGGCTGCCTTTGGGGACCGGTGAGTCAACTTGCACTGAGCCCGGGAAGGACCTTTAGCTGTTGGTCTCTCCACTCAGCCCTGCAAGAGACAAGGTGATCTTGTGGGCTTTCCTCTTCCCCCATCCCTGCCCCCCATTTCTAAGACAGGGGGCTGAGAGTTCCAGAAAAACATTTTCAGTTTAACGGTGGGGGGGGAAACATTGGTTGAAGTAACAGAGCCTCCATTTCTTGTCCTTTGGCTGGACTAGGATAAGTTTCCCTAAGAGAATAGAATAGAATAGAATAGAATAGAATAGAATAGAATAGAATAGAATAGAATAGAATAGAATAGAATAGAATTCTTTATTAGCAAAGTGTGATTGGACACACTAGGAATTTGTCTTGGTGGATACGCTCTCAGTGTACATAAAAGAAAAGATACATTTGTCAAGAATCGTAAGGTACAACACTTAATGATAGTCATCGGGTACAAACAAGCAATCAGGAAACAACATCAATCTAAATCGTAAGGATACAAGCAACAAAATTACAGTCATACAATCATAAGTGGGAGGAGGTGGGTGATAGGAACGATGAGAAGATTAATAGTAGTGCAGACTTAGTAAATAGTTTGACAGTGTTGAGGGAATGATTTGTGTAGCAGAGTGATATTCGCCAGCATCTCCCCACTTACCCCTGCCCCATGGTTGGAAGGAAGGAAGGAAGGATTATTGTGAAGCTGTGGGGGCTGGCAGTGGTTAAGTCCCACCTGTAAAGAAATTGTTTCTTTTTCCAAAAATCAGGGCAAGGTGGCCCAGATTGCCACTTTAAGCAGCGTTTCTCAACCTTGGTAGCTTTCCGATGGATGGATTTCAACTCGCAGAATTCCCCAGCTGGCTGGAGAATTCTGGGAGTTGAAGTCCACCCATCAGAAAGCTGCCAAGGTTGACAAATGCTGTTTAATGCAGGGGTCTCCAACCTTGGCAACTTTAAGCCTGGAGGACTTCAACTCCCAGAATTTTCCAGACGGCTTCTGGTATTTGAAGTCCTCCAGGTTTAAAGTTGTCAAAATTGGAGAGCCCTGGCTTAAAGTATCCTGCATAAGAAGAGCCATCAACAGGAGACTGATTCCCCATCTTAGAAGAGTCTCAGTTGGAGAATGAGAATTCTGTCCCATCAGTAAGCAATTTATTGGTTTGGGAAATGACCTTCAGTGGCTGATTTGCCCTTCCGTGGCACTCGGTCCTGTTCAGAATGGTCTCGTTTCTTTGAAGAAAGCAGAAGAGCTCCTTTGGCAAATGAATGCCAAGACCGACATCTGAAAAGCAAACATATCAGACGGGGGCACGTTTCCCAATTAGCGCATTTTATTAAAAGGCAGAAAGAAGCTTTGCCTTTGGATCCCATTTGGAAAAGGGACTCGGAGTTCTTCCAATGTTTTGCTGCCGTGGCTAACATGTCGCTCCCCCTACAATATCTGGAAATTGGGGCAGGAAGGCAGGCAGTGCACAGAGTCCTTCTCTGCCATGTAACATCCCCGCATTGTATTTCCCGACAGGTAATCCTTGACTTACAACCATTGGTATATTGATCAAAGTTAACAACAGGACTGAAAAAAGTGACTTATGATGATGTTTCACACTTAGGACTGTTGCAGCACCCCTGTGGTCATGTGATCAAAATTCAGATGCTGGAAACTGGCATGTATTTATGACGGTTGCAGTGTCAGGGTCATGTGATCACTTTTTGCAATTTTCTGACATGCAAGATCACGTGAGGTACTAATACCACTCTATAAAGCCTTAGTAAAACCACACCTGGAATACTACATCCAGTTTTGGTCACCACACTACAAAAATGATGTTGAGACACTGGAAATAGTGCAGAGAAGAACAACCAGGATGATGATGGGGCTGGAGGCTAAAACATACGAAGAACGGTTACAGGAACTGGGCATGACTAGACTAGTGAAGAGAAGGAGACAGGATAGCAGTCTTCCAATATTTGAGGGGCTGCCACAGAAAGGAGGGAGTCAAGCTGTTTTCTAAGGCACCCGAAGGCCAGACAAGGAATAATGGATGGAAACTAATCAAGGAGAGACTCAACCTGGAAATAAGGAGAAATTTCCTGACAGTGAGAACAACCAACCCATGGAACAGAAGTTGCCTTCAGAAGTTGTGGGAACTTCATCACTGGAAGCTTTCAAGAAGAGACTGGACTGCCATCTGTCAAAAATTGTGTAGTAAGGTCCCCTGCTTCGGTGGGGGGTTGGACTAGATGACCTGCAAGGTCCCTTCCAACTCTGTTAATCTGAATCTGTTACTCTGTTAAAAGTCAATGGGGAAGCCAGATTCACTTAACCATTGATTAACTTCAGAACTGCAGTGACTCCCACCGGCCAGAACTACCCTCCCACCGGCCAGTTCGCTCCCACAGAGAGGGTCTCCTCAGGGTGCCATCGGCCAAGTTATGTCGGCTGGGGACACCCAGGGGGAGGGCCTTCTCTGTGGGAGCCCCAGCCCTGTGGAATGAACTGCCCACGGAAGTGCGTAAGATCTCCGACCTCCGGGTATTTCGCTGTGCACTCAAGATCCTGTTGTTCCACCAGGCCGGGCTATCAACATAATAATTTTAAATTGGGTGTTTTAAATTTCTGGGGTTTTAAATTGAGCCGAATTATTTAATAATTTTAAATTGTTTTAATTGATGTTTGTCTTGTGCTTTTAATAGGCTGTGCACCGCTCTGAGTCCTTCGGGAGAAGGGCAGTATAGAAATAAAATTATTCTTATTCTTGTCAATCGAAAGGTCAGCAGTTCAGCGGTTCGAATCCCTAGTGCCGCATAATGGGATGAGCTCCCGTGACTTGTCCCTTGTTCTGCAGACCTAGCAGTTCGAAAGCACGTAAAAAATGCAAGTAGTCAGTGGATCAACTTGCCTGCAGAAGTTGTGAATGCTCCAACACTGGAAGTTTTGAAGAAAAGATTGGATAAGCATTTGTCTGAAGTGATGTAGGTTTCCTGCCTAAGAAGGGGGTTGGACTAGAAGACCTCCAAGGTCCCTTCCAACTCTGTTATTCTGTTCTGTTCTGTTCTATTGTATCTGCCTGCTAAGTGCAGGAATCCAAACTCCATCCAGCTTCTGCTTGAACAAAATCCACAAAAGCAATAGTGTAGTCCAACATTCAAGGACAACCTGCCATCTTCTCACCCAGAACATTCTAAGATGGAGTAAGGTTGCCTCCTAAGTGGCAACCTTCAAGTTATTAGGAAAGGTTCCTGGATCCTCTCTCAGCGATCTGTTGAAAACTCTGCTCTGCCCATCAGTCTTTCCATCTCAGCCAATTCCCTGACTGGTCTCCTTGCTGGACCCAGGGCCTGAGAGGAGGCTCTGAGTAGGAGTAGAACTTAAAACTTCCCTTGATCTAGGAACTATCAGCCTCAGTGGATTTCAAGTTCATGAAGAGAAAAGTGCGGCCTTTCTCAGATTTGTCCAACTAATGGTTCATCCTCAAGCCGTTTGAAGATCTTCTTGTTGAATAGGTGGGATGTGCACCCAGGACAGGCCTCAACTCCTTGGCATTGCCCATGCCCTGCACTGCCTTCTCCAAAGATATTCCTAAGAGCAGATGGGGCTTGGAAGGAAAGGGCCAACCTTTCCATCAGGGTCCAGGGAGGTGTGGGGAAA